TGGCTTCAGAGTCCTTCAGCACTTTGTCTGGAGTTTCTCATGCAGTGCCGGGAGGGCCTGTCTTCTGTAACATTCTGTTTTTAAAGTGAAAAATCTCTGGGGAAGGACAAGGGTCCTGAAAGTCCAAGGCCTGGAATTCTTCGCCTCTCTCTTATTCCACTTTAAACAGGAAACGTTTGCACTAAGCAATTCCAGGGGGAGAACGGAGGTTCATTTCAAGGCAGATAATGTTGGTACATTGCCTACATTGGTGATCTGTCCTGTGGAATTAAGTGAGCAGGGCAGCAGAAAAATGCACCTTATGTTTCACTTTGTGCCAAACAGCGGCGTAGCGTGGGTTGTCAGCACCCAGGGCAAGGCAAGTAATTTGCGCCCCCTAACCCCTAACCTGCCGCCGCTGCCAGCTTCTTCTTGCTGCTGCCTGGGCTGGTCTGGTGTGGTTCTCTCCCGCGCTCAGCGCTGCGCTGGGCGGCCGCTGCACTGTCCCTCCCCCAGATAGTCCCTCGCGCTCTCTCCGCACCGCACGCCTGGCACCCACCCCCTCCACAGTGGGCGGCGATCCAGCGGCTCGGATCGGATTCGCACAGCCAGCACTGCAGTGAGAGAGAGTGAGCGAGCCAGGTAGGGGCAGAGAGCTGCGAGTGCGAGCGCGCCCCCCCGATGTTGCGCCCGGTGCAGCCGGCTCCCCCTGCACTCCCCACGCTACGCCACTCGTGCCAAACAATTCTCAGTGAGACGGGGGCACAGGTTAGATTATAGTACACTCAGAGGTGTGTGTATGCGTGGCAGGGGCGGCACATTACTATACAAACAAGACAGACAGTGGAGGGCAAAAAACAGGGAACAAGCAACAATTTTCCTTTTCTTAAAATTATTATGTTGTCAACTACGGAATATTTTTAAGTCCACAAAGTGCTCAGCACCGAGAGCAATTTATCTAAATGGCAATACGACTGGCTCATAATTGTCCTCTCAAATCAGAGGTCACTGAGATTGTGTTTTTGCAGTAAACTACATTCTGTGCAAAGGCAAGCAAGAGGGGTTTTTTTTGGGGGGGGACGACGACGGTGGAGGGGGAGTACAAAGTCCCACTAGTCTAATCAGGAGGATGACAAAAGACTAGGCAGCTGGATTAACGGGGCTTGTGGTTATATACGTGAAACATGAACATTGACCCTAGGTTGTGTGTGTGTGTGTGTGTGTGTGTGTGTGTTTTATGAAATAGAGCAAGGAAGTCTATTTAAGCCTACTGAGAGGAGGAAGGCTCCCAGGATGGACTTTGCAATCCTTCTCTTGAGTGGTTTGATCAAAATCGCGTCATGGCCCTGGAGATCCAGAACGACCTACTTGTTTTTATTTCTCTCTGGGACCATAAATAAGGCCCAGTGTCAATTGTCCACCTGAGCTAATTTGGATAGGAAGTGGATCTATTAACCTTTGCTGCTTGGGAGGGATTGGGAATGTCACTGCTGTTATAAATGCGTTTTCTAGAGGACTGTGACATCACAGGAAATCTTAATTCTGGCTGACTCCTTGAGCACAGATAACGCAACATACTTCTCACAGACCCCTGAGAGAATAAGGAAATCACTGGCTAGGATAGGGAAGCGACTGCTTGGAGCCCCCAAACCATGATTGCATTGAATTTCAGCCACACGTGCTACTGACCCTTGCGAAGGCCACGGCGGTCACTGTATAGGCATTTGCTCTTAAATTCTGCACCAGAGTTGACTTGTATAAATTCTGCCTGTTTTTAATTGCATGGCAATGCTATTAAAATGCACTTCATGTGTGAGTAGTTTTGAGTGCACTCTGTGTAGAAGAAGGAGAGCATATAAATTTATTAAAAACCTTTTTTTTTTTTGGCATAATATTATTTCTCTTAGATGTAGGAAGACACAAAGCACTACACGACACACTCCCTGACCCCAAATACTGCTCAGCCTTTTCTCTGCTTTTTTTGTATATCTTTGTAGTATTAGGGGGTCTTCCTCTTTTCTAAAAGTGAAAACAGATGATTTGCAGGATGCTAAATTCAACACAACTGAGGAGCTACGGCAAGGCAAAGCAGCCCACTATGGCAAACGCAGAGTTGGATTACGTGAGCAACTATCCACATGGTGACAGTTCTATACCCTCCCTGCACTTTTACTTTCAAAATCACTTATTTTTGCACAGCGCTGCAAACCCAATGGTCTGCTATGGCTTCTGGGAAGGTCATGAAGTTGAAACTGTTAAAATCTGCGTCTGGGGTGGTTCGCCAACTCTCTCATCATGTCCTACTGATGACATCAGGACATGCCGTAGCAGAACCCTCTTTCTGTCCATTTCAAAAGGAAACACAATACAGTGGTACCTCGGGTTACACTCCGCTAACCCAGAAATAGTGCTTCAGGTTAAGAACTTTGCTTCAGGATAAGTACAGAAATTGGGCTCTAGCGGCGCAGCGGCAGCAGGAGGTCCCATTAGCTAAAGCGGTGCTTCAGGTTAAGAACAGTTTCAGGTCAAGAACGGACCTCCAGAATGAATTAAGTACTTAACCTGAGGTACCACTGTAGGGGTCAGCAAACTTTTTCAGCAGGGGGCCGGTCCACTGTTCCTCAGACCTTGTGGGGGGCCGGACTATATTGGGGGGGGGGTAATGAACGAATTCCTATGCCCCACAAATAGCCCAGAGATGCATTTTAAATAAAAGGGAACATTCTACTCATGTAAAAACATGCTGATTCCCAGACTGTCTGCGGGCCAGGTTTAGAAGGTAATTGGGCCGGATCCAGGCCCCGGGCCTTAGTTTGCCTACCCATGCAATAGGGGGACATCGTTTTCTGCTGCTGTTTCAGTTTGTGTGTGGCCTGCAGTGTAGTCCTGCCCTCTGATATCAAACAGAAAATTGAGATCAGACTCCACTGAAACCAGGGGAAGCGCTGGGGGAGATTTACAAGCAATCCCCACCCACCCCGGTCAAAAGCGATAACAGGATGAATCTGTAGAAGTGCCCACAACTAGTTGGGCTTGGAAAAAGCCTAACTTGTTACTTACTTTTCCTAAAAACTAATCACACACTCGCACACAGTTCATGTGCATGCTTTGGTCCTGACCATTCCAATGATTGATGAAACATGGACTGCATCCTCCCTCTGAGGAAGTCCTAATGAATTTTGCCCCCACTTTTTGTTTTCGTTGGCTCCTAGGGAGCTCAGAGTTCAGGTGCTTGGTTCATGCCTCTCCAGTGACCCATTTTGGAGGGTACACATGTCTGCCAGGCCAACATTGAGAAGTGGAAAATTTGTGACCTCCGGGCCACATCCAACCTGGCTGCTTCAAGCCCATCCACTCCAGAAAGCATGTGGGGAACGTTATCTGTAGCAGGAAATGACGAGAAGTGTCTGTCCTTCTTGGATTTCCTTAATTAAAGCATGGAAAGGGACTGGATGCAAGCCAAAGAGGACATAGGAAGATAGAAAGCTGTCTTATACAGAATCAGTATTGGTCATTCCATCCAGGGTCTCAGGCAGAAATTATTGTCTTTCCCTTTGCTCAGATGCTAAGATCGGTCCTGGCACTTTTATGCATGAAGAGCATGGGCCCCAACACCACTGTGGATTTGACTACCCAGATGAATGGCTGGAAAACTGCTAGGCTCCTCCAATTACCGTATTTTTCGTCCCATAGGACGCTCCGTCCCATAGGACGCACCTAATTTTTTGGGGGGGAAATAAAGAAAAATTTCCCCTCCTTTATTTCCCCCCCAAAACCAGGTCGGGGAGCTTGTGGGGCTGGCCGATGTCTGCCCGGCGCGTGGGGCGCTCTGCTTCAGGGCACCACGTGCGCCGGGCGGCAGGCTGCTATCCGCAGCGTGGGGAGCCCTGCGGCAACTCCCGCGGGCTCCCCAGGCTTGCTGATAGCTTCCTGAAGCCTGGAGAGCGAGTGGGGTCGGTGCGCACCGACCCCTCTCGCTCTCCAAGCTTCAGCGAAAGCCTGTATTCGCCCCATAGGACGCACACAGATTTCCCCTTCATTTTTGGAGGGGGAAACGTGCGTCCTATAGGGCGAAAAATACGGTAGATGGTTATAACCATAGAATTTGGACCATAAAGAAGGCTGATCGCCGACGAATTGATGCTTTTGAATTATGGTGCTGGAGGAGACTCTTGAGAGTCCCATGGACTGCAAGAAGATCAAATCTATCCATTCTGAAGGAAATCAGCCCTGAGTGCTCACTGGAAGGACAGATCGTGAAGCTGAGGCTCCAATACTTTGACCACCTCATGAGAAGAGAAGACTCCCTGGAAAAGACCCTGATGTTGGGAAAGATGGAGGGCACAAGGAGAAGGGAACGACAGAGGATGAGATGGTTGGACAGTCTTCTCGAAGCTACCAGCATGAGTGTGACCAAACTGCGGGAGGCAGTGGAAGACAGGAGTGCCTGGCGTGCTCTGGTCCATGGGGTCACGAAGAGTCGGACACGACTAAACGACTAAACAACAACAATAACAACCATAGAATCACTTGTCTGTCAGGCTGGCAATACAGTGGTACCTCGAGTTACAAACGCCTCAGGTTACAAACGCTTCAGGTTACAAACTCTGCTAACCTGGAAGAGTTACCCCGAGTTGAGAACTTTGCCCCAGGATGAGAACGGAAATCATGTGCCGGCGGCGCAGCGGCAGCAAGAGGCCCCATTAGCGAAAGCGTGCCTAGGTTAAGAACAGTTTCAGGTTAAGAACAGACCTCTGGAACAAATTAAGTTCGTAACTAGAGGTACCACTGTATAGATTTAAGGTAGCAGTTGCACTAAGCAGGCAGGCAGTGATTGAACGGGTTTCTCAGATCAAGGAGCCAGCTAAAACTGCGGCGGAAAGACAAAGGTTACATCCATGCCACACACTTTAAGCACAATGCTTCCCTCAGTTGTGGGAACCGCAGTCAATCCTTTAGAATTGTGGATTTGGAAGGGATCGCAAGGGTCAACTAGTTCAAACCCCTGCAATGCAGGAATCTGTTGACCAATGTGGGGCTCAAGCCCACAACCCTGAGATTAAGAGTCTCATTCTTTACCGACGGAGCTGTTCCCAGCATCTTTAACAAACTAAAGTACCTAGGCTACTTTGGGGGAAGTCATGTGCCTTAAAAGTATGGTGTTTGGATGTGACCTCCCATGCCTGGATGTGGTGATGATGATGATGATGATGATAATAATAATAATAATAATAATAATAATAATCTTTATTGTCAATGTACAACCTGTGTACAATGAAATTAACAGAGCCTCCGTCCCCCCCAACAAACACTCAATCTCATTGCACTCTGTGCACTTGTCGCACAACACACCAACCCCGGAAGTCAGTTGCCCTATATTATTCTCCGTTCAGCAGCCTAACAGCCCACGGATAGAAACTGTTTTTTAGCCTGTTGGTACGACTGATTATGCTTCTATATCTCCTGCCCGAGGGTAGAAGATGAAAGAGGTGCTGGCTGGGGTGTGAATCGTCCCTGAGATTTTTTCTCGCTCTCCTAAGGCATCTATCCCTTGCGATGTCATCTAGCAGACTCAAGGGACAGCCCATGATATCATGTGCTGTGTTCACCACCCTCTGTAAAGACTTTCTGTCCGTGGCTGTCAAGCCAGCGTACCACACTGTGATACAATATGAGAGGACAGTAGAAGGAGGTCATCAATTGTTTAACATTGTTCTTTTGCAAGATCCTGAGGAAATGGAGTCTCTATTGGGCCTTCCTAACCACCTGAGTGGGACGTGGGTGGCGTTGTGGGTTAAACCACAGAGCCTAGGACTTGCTGATCAGACGGTCGGCAGTTTGAATCCCCACGACAGGGTGAGCTCCCGTTGCTCAGTCCCTGCTCCTGCCAACCTAGCAGTTCGAAAGCACATCAAAGTGCAAGTAGATAAATAGGTACCACTCCAGCGGGAAGGTAAAAGGTGGTTCCGTGCGCTGCTCTGGTTCGCCAGAAGCAGCTTAGTCATGCTGGCCACATGTACGCCGGCTCCCTTGGCCAATAAAGCGAGATGAGCGCCACAACCCCAGAGTCGGCCACGACTGGACCTAATGGTCAGGGGTCCCTTTACCTTTTTAACCACCCGAGTTATATTGTTTTTCCAAGTGAGGTCTTCACTAAGGTAAACTCCCAGGAATTTAAAGGAAGAGACTCTCTCCACACAACTCCCGCAGAGTCCCCTGGTCTGATGCTTCACACTGTTCTGTTGCAACAAAGGTTTGCCCCTCGCACCCAACAGAGATGTGCAGGTAGAAACTCACAGGTGCAGTTCCCCAAACACTCTGGCGAAATGGGGGAAAGAATCATGTTGCGACGAAAAGCATCAGAAGGGCGGCAGATGACTGACTGATCTGAGGATCCGCCTGTAACTTTGAGATTATTCACATATGCAAAGGACTAATCCCCCAAAATCCTGTAGCAATTTTTTCCATTGGTGGTAATAGCTTTGGGTTTAATACTCTTCCCTCCAACACATGAATCCCACAGCGATAAAAACACAAAGGGAAAACTGCTAATCCTATGCTCAATGATCTTCCTTCCTATGAAAGGTTTTGGTAGGCTGGGCTTTAAACAACATGGAGATAACATGATGCTTTTGCTATTAACTTCTCGGTGCCTATTGGAAACCACCCTTAACCAACAAACCTTTTAAGAGGAGGTTTTTAACCTAGCATGTGTCTGTATTGGACTTGAAATGGTTTCCAATATATGCTTTCGTTGTCAAGTTGCTTCAGGATGTTTTTCATGAATTAAACAAACATACAAACAATAATAACCAAGAACTGCTGTTTCTGGAGGAAGAAGCCTAGTTGGAAAAGCCTGATTTGGCCTGATTCACCCACCATTTATTTTAATGAAGTGACATGCCTATTTGTGTGTGTTTGTGCGAATGCACAAGGGAAAGAGAGAATGACTGCTCTTGTGAATGCACCAGCAAGAACCGAGATCTCAACCAGCCCTTTTCTCAAACAGAATTAAAAAAAACCTTCAAGGCTGGTGAGTCAGGACCCACTGCTGGTCACCGTCTGATCTAAGGTAAGTCACAACATTAGCATTACCACTAAATATATATATATATATTGCAAAAAGTTAAGACATGGGTCCCCAAATGCATGTTTGGATTAAAGGTGGGTCCCAAATTTGAAAAAACAACAACGCTTTAAGGTATTTTCAAAAACCAATTCAATTAAAATGGTAAGCCATGTTCTCCAATGTACATTACTGCATTCACAACTTGTGGTGGGGTTTTTTTCTTTGGGGGGGGGAGCATTCAATACCATGTGAAACTGTCATCTTCCCCAAAACTGCAAGATTGTAAGTTGTAAAACCAAATACAGTAGACACTCGGGTTGTGAACATGATCTGTGCGGGAGGCACGTTCGCAACCCGCAGCGTTCGCAACCCTCAGCACTGCATCTGCGCACGCGCGGGTTGTGATTTGGTGCTTCCACGCATGTGCAAAGAGCAATTTAGCTCTTCTGCACATGCGCCGAAAACCGGAAATAACCCATTCCGGTACTTCCAGGTTTGGCGCGGTGCGCAACCCGAAAACGCGCAACCTGAAGCGTCTGTAATCCAAGGTATGACTGTAAAAGGAAACAGTGGCTCAGGCACCTTAAAAGCCATTTTCACTAATGCATTCATCTAGAATTTTGAATTATGCTGCTGGAGGAGACTCTTGAGAGTCCCATGGACTGCAAGAAGATCAAACCTCTCCATTCTTAAGGAAATCAGCCCTGAGCGCTCACTGGAAGGACAGATCGTGAAGCTGAGGCTCCAATACTTTGGCCACCTCATGAGAAGAGAAGACTCCCTGGAAAAGACCTTGATGTTGGGAAAGATGGAGGGCACAAGGAGAAGGGGACGACAGAGGACGAGATGGTTGGACAGTGTTCTCAAAGCTACCAGCATGAGTTTGACCAAACTGCGGGAGGCAGTGGAAGACAGGAGGGCCTGGCGTGCTCTGGTCCATGTGGTCACGAAGAGTCGGACACGACTAAATGACTAAACAACAACAACAACATATATATATATATATGGGCATAGACAATATTGAAATGCCCAAATATGTGTTCTATTAGATGTGCATCCCCCCCCCCCCGAAGCGTCTGTAACCCGAGGTATGACTGTAAAAGGAAACAGTATCTCAGGCACCTTAAAAGCCATTTCCACTAATGCATTCATGAAGAGTGACGCAGAATGCAAACAATGCATGGCATACAGCTAAAATCCAGGAGGAAGAGCCCTGATTTTGGATCCCGGTGACTTTTCTTCAAGTCCCAGCTGGGTCATGGAGTCATTGTGGGGCCTCAGCAGTCTTCTCTCTCACTCATCTTCAGTTCCCCATTTGTAAAATGGGGAAATCCCATAGGCTTGTGGGGGCGAACTCACTAAAGATTATAAAGCACTTTGCAAATTAAAAATGTTACGGAAATGATAAATGGTGGCTGCTCGGTTCAGAACTACTTGCCCATCTTCTCTTTGTGCAGAGGCTGGAAAAGATGCACAAATGCAAACAGCCTATGTGCCACAAATGCTTTCACCATGAGGTTATATACATGTGACATTTGTTTCTTGGCACAATCAAGAACTACGCTTACAAAACCACTTGTCTAACCATCAGGTGAGAATTTGTGCCTTAATCTTAGGACTACAGTCATATCTCGGGATAAATACACTTCAGGATAAGTATTTCCGGGTTGCACTCCACGGTGACCCGGAAGTAATGGAGCGTGTTATTTCCGGGTTTTGCTGCTCGTGCATGCACAGATGGTCAAAATGACATCACGCGCGGAAGAGGCGAAACGTGACCTGCGCACGAGCAGACGTGCAGTCGCGTCTTACATTCTGTTCAGGATGCGAATGGGGCTCCAGAACGGATCCCGTTCGCATCCCAAGGTACCACTGTAGTTCCTTCCCACTGAAGCGTATGAGTTGCTTCGCTTCACCTACTGAAGGAGACTCACCTAAGGGCACTGTTAAGTGGTGGGTGAACATATCAGACGACACAGCGATTCTTCAAACAGCTCTTGTTTATTCACAGGCCAGAACTGAACTGAAGGGTTCAGTCAGCCTGCTTATATAGAGCTCCAGTACAACGTAACTGTAACAACTTTCTGTAACTATCCAATCACTGAACATCACTTTCGATCCCTTATTTGCATATGTGGACCTGAACTATCTACAGTATCCCCATGCTGGCCCAGCGTGAGAACTTCAGTACATAACAGGCACATTCCTCCATACCAAAATGTGTCAGGTTTTTATTTTTAAGCTGCCTATATTTTCAGTCACATGAGCTGCACTTGCAGTCAAAAGGTTACTACCCTAATAAGAACAGGATCTCAGATTAACTACCGCTTGCAATTTGCAAACTAGTTCCGAATTCTTCCTTACACTGCACAAAATTGCTAAAGTAATGGCAGTTACGGACGTTTAGGGAGGAAGCCAGTGTTCCTCTACTTGAAAACGGGGTTTTGGCTAAATAACCCCCTCCCCCTGTCACCATAATGGAAAAAGGTGAGGAAGGTCTACAATAAACAAGTACCGTATTTTTCGCTCTATAGGAAGCACTTTTCCCCCTCCAAAAATGAAGGGGAAATGTGTGTGCGTCCTATGGAGCGAATGCAGGCTTTCGCTGAAGCCTAGAGAGTGAGAGGGGTCAGTGTGCACCGACCCCTCTCGCTCTCCAGGCTTCAGGAAGCTATCCGCAAGCCTTGGGAGCCCAGCGGGAATTCCCGCCGGGCTCCCAAGGCTTGCGGACAGCAGCCTGCAGCCCGAAGCTGGGGGAGCGCAGCGCCGCGCACCCCGGGCTTTGGGCAGATATCCGCAAGCCTTGGGAGCCTGGCGGGAGTTCCCGCCGGGCTCGGAAGGCTTGCGGATAGCAGCAAGCTCTGGGAGCGAAGGCGAGGTTGCACGCAACCTCGCCCCCGCTCCCAGACCCGTTCTTCCCCCGCTCCAGCCCTGGGGATAAAGAGGAAGCCAAGACAGCCAGTGGGATGGCTTCTTTGCTCTTTGGGGCTGGGGGAAAAAAATAATTCCCCCCTTTATTCCCCC